GAGGGAGGATTTACAGTCACAGACCTTCTCTGGCTTGGAGAGCTGCCAGGCCGAGATCTGCACAACTTGGCCAGGAGTCTCGGAGAGTCGCCAACCAATGAAGCGAACTAATGGTCTCCTGCAAACTCCACTCCCCTTTCGCTCCTGTTTTATTTCCTCTGGGAGGGGCCATTCATTGTCCACCTGTGGCCTTACTCCCAAGTCCACCCCTGTTCTTTAGCTCTTTCCTTCATCTGGCCACTCTGCTCATGCACACACTGGGAACAGGCTCCAGCTGTTCTTCTGCCTCACTGATGTCTGACTCCGAAGGCAGCTGATAACTGGCATACGGCCCCCTCTCTGCCTCCGACGCAGAGCCCACGTTCGAGCCCTCCCCAGACTCCAGGACTGGCCCATCTTCCTCCCCAACCTCCTCACTGTCCGAATCTACTGCCAGCTCCACTGACCACTAGTGGATCACAACACACGGCCTGGTTCCTTGTCACCAAAGGAGGCAAGACGCCAATCAGGTAAAACCTTACTTTCACTCCCATTGTACCTCCGCTCGGCTGCTAGATGCTCAAAACCTTCTACATTTCTGTTCAAGGACCTGCTTGATAAGATCAGGGCATAGGAAACCACCATAGGTGCCTTTTTAATCTTTCGGGACTTGAATCCAGGCCAAAGGAAGGTTTACTCGAACGCAGATCAGATGGGAGAGTGTGGAATTAATTAACCAGTGGAACGACTTGCCTCCAGAAGTTGTGAATGCTCCAAGACTGGAAGTTTTTAAGAAGATGTTGGATATCCATTTGTCTGAAGTGGTGCAGGGTTTCCTGCCTAAGCAGGGGGTTGGACTAGAAGACCTCCAAGGTCCCTTCCAACTCTGTTATTGTGTAACTCTAATGGAACAAGAACTCAGCCCGCGCGAAAAGGAGCTGACGAGAGCTCTTTTTAGATTTGGCCCCGAGTTTGAAGCCACTCAATACTCAGTTGCCCACACTCCACCCCGCAAGGGATGATGGGGTCGTTTGATGATGATGATGATGATGATTCAAACTGGAGAGTAAAAGCTGTGTAATCCCTATGTTGTTCCATTTTTGGATTTAAGTGGAAGACAAGAAAAGAATTGCAGAGGAAAAGGGGAAGCAATTTTGTAAAGCTGAGTTCTCTCTCTGCCTTCCCATCTCCTGGCCAAGTTCTTCGTCTCCACCTCTTAGGGGCCTCTCTCTCTCTCTCTCTCTCTCTCTTCCTTTCTCTCCACCTACTCAAAACTTGTGTCTCAAGGTTTAACCTAATCCCAGTGAGTCAAAACTGCCAACTCATCCTTTGTATAAATATACATTCACTACCTA